AACTGTTGGAAGTTTTCTTCGCGCTAATTGGGTTATGCTTTTAGATCAAGAGGAATGGTCCAATCTCAGCAGAGAATCATAAAACGGTTGTAAAATTGTTGTGTTCTGCTGAATCAAAGACATAAGGGTCCTTTACATAGAAATCGTAGACGGTCGTGAAGTTTTAAGTCGTACACTGAAAAAAATGTTATTCATAATATCAATGAATGACATTTACTGACTTTAAATTCATTGATATAATGAACTTTTAATAGATATTATGAATATTTTATTGAGTATTTTTTATTAGCTAATAACTGGATTTATTAATATAACAAATCACTGTTTATTAATATGCTGTACTTGAATATATCATAACTTAATATAACATTTATTTAAATCAATGAAAAAGTTCATTCTTCCAACAAATATGTTCATATACTTAATAAATTCATTTATTAGATGTCTATTATAAAATTTTGTAGAAGTGATAAAATACATTCATTATATTAACGCATTTTTTTATTAGTTAATAAAGTCTGTATATTAGCTCAATAAACGCATTAATAACAATAAAGTTTAATGCATGATTTAATGATATTATTCATTGAATGAATAAAGTTTTTGGTTATTATAATAAATCCATGGCAGACTATTTTAATGTATATATTCATTGTCACAATGAATTCTTAATAGTTTAATAACTCAAATTGATCATTTTATAAAACCTAAATCATTATAGGAATAAAATTGTTCATTGGACCAATTTTAATGAATTTTTTATTAATACCAATGAATACTTTTATTGTATTTACGTACATTTTTGGTTCAGTGTAGGAAGCCAACCAATCACAATCAATTATTAGAAGAATACTCGATTAGAATAGGTCAGTTTCCTACTACTTAAGACTCCACGACTGTCTACGACTTCTATGTAAAGGATCCTATGGAGAATGGACTGCGCGATCAGTATGTCAAAATGGTCGATAATGCTGGATTCACACTGCATCCGATTTGCGTCGTACGATGCTCTGCAACCAATTAGAAAACAGGATTCCGATGATACGAAGCAAAATCCATCGGAATCTTGTTTTCTGATTGGTTGCAGAGCGTTATACGACGCACATCAGATGCAGTGTGAATCCAGCATTAGAATGAGAGAGAGGGACCGTGGCATACGGCCATTTCTATCTCTTTCCATTCAATGGGAGAGAGAATGAGAGGGAGATTGGCCGTCTCCCACGGTCCCTCTCTCTTATTTTGTCGACCACATTTGATACATTACTTAGATACGGATCGCGCAGTCCATTCTTTATGTATTTGTGCTGAATGCAGACATTTCAAAGTTATGGATAAGTTTACTGTTATTTCCATTTCTATTATATAACGTATACCTAAAGCAATGTTCTGATTGGCTCATCGGTTTAAGTTTACGTCTTGTGTGCCTTTACATGCGGCGGGGGTGATCCCGATTGACCACGTCTCGATTGAACACCACCAATCACAGCGACCGGTGCTTAGGAGCTTTGTAGTTTCAAGAGCTGTGAGTGGCTCGTGTCCAATTGAGCCGTGCCCAACTGGGTGCCACCCCATGCGGCGTACCTTGCATAATGCTGGATTCACACTGTATACGATTTTCGTCGTATGACGCTTTTCAACCAATCAGAAAACAGAATTCCGATGATACGAAGCAAAATCCATCGGAATCCAGCATAATGTTGGATTTACACTGCATCCGATTTGCGTCATACGACGCTCTGCAACCAATCAGAAAACAGGATTACCATGATACGAAGCAAAATCCATAGAAATTATGTTTTCTGATTAGTGCAGAGCGTCGTACGACGCAAATCGGATGCAGTGTGAATCCAGTATAAGCGTAACCTATACATTCTAGTAGTTTACTAGAAGTTACGCCGGTTTAAAAGTCGCCATTTACGTGGCGCGTATTTCGTAAAAATCGCGCAAAACATAACCAATAACTTTATAAAGCTAACCAATGACAAATCAGACTTTCTTTTGTACACTCATCGACTAAAAGGTTGCGACACTTTTTTCTTAATGAGTTTCAAAATGCGGCAAAATTGTCAGGATGCGAGTCACTGCTTGTGGAGCGGTTAGGATAGCTGTCAATGTGAAAAAATGGTTGCATTCAGTACCATAACCGCTCACTGAGCGCTCAGTGAGCTCTCATATTTGTTTAGTCTATATTTTTAAATCTAACGGAATATGCCAATCAGATGCAAGAGCTCACTGATTGAGCGCTTAGGGTGCGTTCCACATATCGCTCGCAACG